CAGATCGATAAATCGATTAACTGCGTTCCCATCCGAGGCCCAGGCTTCAATCATTTCTCGGCCTGTTTTGTTTCCGGCGTGGGCTGCGAAGTTAAACTCGTGACCCATTTCGTAGGTATGGGCGGCCACTTGTGATAATGCGTCGTCTCGCCGCACAGTCAGCTTATGTTCATGTATGCGCGATCCGAGCATGCGTCCAGTCTGTCTCGTGTAGTTATAAAAACAATTTTGACACGGAATGCGATACACTACTCCAGATTGCTCTTCAGGCTTTAGCCGGTCTTTGATTTTCATGACCCTATTGCGCATGGTGGTCTCTCTGGCGTTTATCGATAAGTCGTCTGTCGCAAAGATTGTGGTGGCCTAAAGACCAAAGTGATCAGAAAAACGACGAACACGACGCAAATACTGACCTTCAACAGTAACCACCCAATCAGTCACACACGCAGTTGCGTGAGAACGCTATATCGGCGTGTTGAGACGCACCGCAGTGAACCGGAAGACAAGGTTGCCGAATCCCAAGACCTTCGACGGGTTTTCAGAGAAAATGGTTACCCGCGCAACTTCGTCAACCGCTGCATGCGCAAACGAGACGAGCGACAAAATCACGCCGACCCCTAATTACGGCGAGCGATCCCGTACATTAAGAACGTCTCCGAGGCCGTTAGTCGCCTTCTTGCACCACTTGGGGTTGAAGTTGCACACAGACCGGAGACCACTATGAGGCGTCAGGTGATGAGACCCAACGACCCACTGCCACGGCAAGAAACATCTGGAGTCGTTTACCGGATCTGGTGCAGTTGCGGACAAAGCAATTACGTCGGAGAAACTGGAAGACTGCTCCAGACACGAATCGCCGAACACGTGGCAGCGGTACGGGGAAATGACGCCAACTCTCAGGTCGGGGCCCATTCGACGAGACCCGGCCACACATTCAAGTTCGATGAGGCCGAAATTCTCGCGAGAGGGGATAATCACGTGAGCCGCGAGTTGCGTGAGTCATAGTTCACGGGGCCTCAGTCTATCAACAAGTGCAACGACATCCCCACTCCATATTTCGTGAGGCATAGGCTGGCCAAAGTAATTGCCCACTCGGGGAGCGCGCAAGCCGGTGGGCCAGATGGCCGAGCAATCATCACGCCAGCATCCAACGCGGGTGATGGGATTTTAGCAAGTAACAACTTGCATGCCGGCAATCAAGCAATTGGCGCACCAGCGGGCAAGAATCCTTGATGAAGGGGAGCGCGGTTAATTGCTATAGGTATGCGGTAGCATAGCGACTGCATCCTATAAATACTGCAATGTCCTGTGCACGAGTCACCCTTTTCTGCCTCTGTCTCTGATTATGGGTTCAGGTGAGAATCCGAAACGTCAGGCGAATAAAGCCCTTGTTCCAGCGATCGCTTTTTCTGATGTTCAACTAGTTCCTGGAATTCGCATCTTCGCTTGTATCGGCAATAAGCCGATAGGTTAAGCGACCTCATTCATTCGTGACACCATAGACTGCAGATCAAAGCATGAAGCTAGTAAAGCGGTATTATCGGCGTAGTCGAGATGAGTCGGCCGGCGAGCCGGTGCAAACTTAACACCGTCGACTTCATGTAATGCGTTCTCCGGCATCCACTCAATGGCGTGGTTGAACAGAATGGGCGACAGGATACAATCTTGCAGAATGCCAGACCGAATATCGAACGGCTGGGAAAGATTTCCATGGACTAGAACTCGTGCGGCAGCTAAGTTGCAGTAGGCCTTGATTATGGGGATGATTTTGGCCAGCACACCATCTAGTTCCATTATTTGCCACGCAGCGGTCGTGTCGCGGAGACGGTAGTCCCGTGATGTAAGTCCATGATGCTCTGATTGATTTGGAAGTGATCATTCATGCCGGTTTCCAACCGATCAGATCGTTACACCAGAGACCCAATCCCCGCGGTGACGCCCGTTGTGACCTACCACCCTTGAGAACTACTCTGCATACCAAACCTCCGTTTGGACCGATTGTTTTCAAATGAGGACATCACAGAGATGGCTCTCGGTTGGGGGCGATAGGACCCCTGAGTCGCAGTTGTCTTTTAAACATTCCGTCTAGACTGTAGTCGAGCGCACAAAAGCCCGAACAGAACCATTCTCGTTGCTAGTGTTGGCAGCACTCATTACGCGGGAGTTTAACTATAAACTAGAGAGTCGGGCAAGCCTGAGTACTGTCATTATTGCCGCGCCAAGGGACCATATGCGCCCTAGAATGCAAGAGGCAGATGTTTCTACCGATAAAAGCGGTTCGGCACAACAAAATCGACGAGTCCACTTCCACGAATGGAAGAGAATATGCGCACCCCAGGTCCTTGTTTAAAAGAAGGCGAAGGCACGATCACTGGGACAGTAGGTTTATTTGCCTGAGCTTTCGAACTCGAACTAGAGTTCATCATCAGAGACTACTCGAGTGCAGCAAATTGTGAACATTTATATCGTTCGCCTTTGCGGGGGGAGGGGGAGTACGTCCGTGGCTAGGTAGGGTTTGTGCCGCCTGGTCCACGATGTTCCCCCGGCGTGGTGAGGCCGTTTGTACTTCGCGACGGTGTGAGCTGCGCCACCTGGCTGCGTGGGCGGAGCGCGTGATAACACGCAAGCAAATCGATGTGTCTGTTGATAGAGGTGGTGTCCGACACCCACGCCTCTAACAGTTCTCGCCCTGTCTTGTTGCCGGCTCGCGCCAATATCCGCGTGTTGGCGAAGTCGAACTCATGCCCTTCCTCCAGCGTGTGAGTGGCTACTTGAGACAGTGGGTCGCCTCTCCGAACGGCCCGTTTGCGCTCAAGTATTCGTGAGCTGAGACGTCGTCCTGTCTGGCCTGTGCAGTGGCAAGGACAGTTTTGGCACGGGATTCGATAAACTACGCCCGACTGTTCACCTGCGTCCAGCCGATCCTTCATTTTCATGATCTTGCTACGCATGGTGGCCGCCGGATGATGAGCAATGCCCACGCCTTGCTCTGAAGCGATGCGCTCTGTAGCCTCGGACACATTCTTTATGTACGGTAGGGAGTGCCAAATTGTTGGTGTCTCTCTTCCGTTTGTCCGGCGTGCGTGCGCGCGTATGCAGCGACTGATAAAACTATTTGGGTAGCCGTTCTTTTTTAACTGGTCCCGGAGATGTCGTAGTTCTTGCATCCTTCCTTCGGGCTCGCTACAATGCGTTTTTACCCGGTCGAAAAGCGCCCTCACACAGCACCAATGGGTGATTGCTATGATAGTTGAGGACATGGGTTGTATTGGTCGCCTTTCTGTACGCTGTGGTGCTGAGTTCACCGTCAGGTGTGCGCGTGGCGAGCACGTCCAGGAAGGGTAGTTTCTCGTCCTCCTCGTCTTCTCTTGGAAACTGAATGTCGGGGAATATGCTGTTAAGTAAGTCTTGAAAACCCGATAGCTTGTCCTTTGCAATAATGGCGAATGTATCGTCCACGTATGGGCGCCAAAACGCAGGTTTGTAATGGCTGAAAGCAACCTTTTCCAGCTCTTGTAGGACCAATTCCGCAACTCGGCTAGATATTGGGGAACCCATGGGTGTTCCTTTGATTTGTTTGCGCGACGTGCTACGCAAACGTCTCGAAAAAAAGTACGACGAAACGACAGGGCCGCTAAAGATCCAGCACCTAATGCAGCTCTTTGCATTCTGCCAACGAACCTTTTTCACCCTCGATGTCAGAACATACGAAGAATGCAAGGCAACCCATTGAGAGGAGTCTGGCTATTGCCCTAAGTGCGTTGTATAAAGCTTCTTCTGCCATCAGCAATAAACCTGACGCAAGCAGCCGCACTTCAAAGATGCACAAGTAATCATCGGTCACACCGCTTCTCTGAGTGCAGGTGATATTCAGGGCGGATCAACGACCGCGCGACTGAGGCGCTACGTCAAGCAGAGTTTCCACTTATACAAGGCTAACCGAGTCTAGTGAACTTATAAGCACCCGACGCCTTGATGCTCCTCTAAGCCAGGATCTGATCGCACCTAGGGAGTTTCGACAGCACTAGGTCGTGTGTCTCCTCCGAAAATCTCAGCTCGCATATTTACTATCTGGCCACTTGCTGTGGTTCACATGTGTCGTGTGCCGCGGACGCTATAATATAAGTTCAGACAGGCCGTTAGGAACTTTGTTCTGATGGGCCTTCAGGAATTTGGTAGGTGTGGAGTTCCCAAATCCACAGCTTAGCCTCTTGAGATAGCAGGAGCAGCATGTTTAATGGTTGCTGAGGCTCTCTGCGCCACGGACCTGCCGAGTTGCCAAACCCCTACCACCCCAGTCTTCCTAGCCATGCCGCTGCCGTTGTCTGTGCATACAAACATAATAGAAGGAAAGCGGTCCTCTCCCATCTCTCCGGTATGTTGTTGGCCTGGCGCAACTGCACGGAAATTTTAGCTGTCCGCTCCCTAACTTCCTCAGGACCGTTTCTACGATAAGCTGTCGCTGAATGTTAAGTAGGCTCAATGGCGCATCCTTGACGAATAACTGGAAAAGGAGCCGCTGAGCGCCTAAGCCCCTGATGGCCATTCGTCCTTCATTGTCCACCTGTTCAGGACTCATGATGTCGGTAAGCCTAACGTTCTGCCAGTAGGGCGGCAATCGGGGATATAACAAGTGTCTGCCGAGCTGCGCTGGTGGAAGGGCTGTCTACCATGCAAAGCTCCAGTCTAGGACCTTCGCACAGAGTACCGCGTAGATGCAGGCAGAATTTCAATTCCATGCGATAAAATATGTATATACATACATATAAAGTTTAAAATAACAGTAGAGAAGATCGCGTGTTAAAGCCCACTTTTACTTAAAAAATAGTACATAGCGGGCTTGTTTTACTTCGCACACTAACCACTTCTGGTAAAAATGCCAGTTGTGTGGACTCAGATTGACATGACGCAGTCCACGAAAGGAAAGTGGGTGGATACAACGGAGGCGTGTTGCACAACATGGGTCATAAAAAGAGTGTCAGAGGTGAGAAAGAAGGAAGTCACTTTTTTAGAGAAAAACACAGCTTGGGGCGGAGTCGTTTTTTGTTTAGGATTATCTCCTGTTCTCTTCTGACGCGCCGTTGCTCTTCGGCCTCCTGTCGTTGGCGCTCCTCCAGTTTTCGCAGCTCCTCTTCGTACTGCTTTTGCTGTATCTCCTCCTACAGTCAAATAAAGGCCTTGGTAAAATAAGGTTGCTAAAAATCTGTTAGTGGACATTTCTGGTACTACGGTGGAAGCGCCGAATCGACCGCCCATAGGAGGGTGAGCAGATATAAAAGCACTCAGTACTCGGAATAAAAATTCCTACTTCGAAAGTTAATATCTTTATCGGTTTGATGTAAGCTTACTAAGGATTTTCAGAGCTTCCCTTCTCAAATGAGCACAAAACTACACAACGGAATCGACAGGAATTGCTTGTGGTCTTCACTTGAGAGAAGTTGCTTCTGAAGTTGTCTTTGGAGGTTAAGATGCCACCACCACTGAAACAAAACGCAACACGTAGAGCAGGATGCACGAGACTTGGGGCCATAGGCATCTTGGCGAAGTTCAGGCGGCGGGGGGTTCAGTGGCGCAGAGCTAATATTGGCTAGACAGCAGAGATTAACAGGCTAGGCATATAGGCAAAAACAACCCTTGAGGGAACAGTCAACCTACATTTCGACGGCGCTCTTCCTCCAGTTCTTCCTTGCGTTGGCGGGCTAACCGCTCATTTAATTCTCTCAACTGCCGTTCTTCCTCCTAGGCAAACAAAACGGGCATGGTGAGTTAATTCCTGAACAACAATCACTAACGTCAACTGCTGCCCTGCTTCATGAACTGAACTAAACAACGACGGCATACAATCAAAAGCGCATATAAAAATTCGGTAAAGGGAGAAAAGGGACTGGTCAGAGAAAAATTGTGACCCAGTGGGGAATGTCTGTAAGGATAGTGGTGGAGAGGCAACTAAAGTGAAGGTGTTGGACGATCCGTACCTTTCAGCAGGACAGAGTTTAACTCAGGTATGCCCACAAACAGCCCTGCTGCTCATGCTATTAATCCTAACACCTCCCTTCTGCGGTCGACTGGTGTTGGAATAACCTAACAACGGTAAGCATGATAGGGGATTATAGGGCAAACACTGGACGCGGGGTTCGGTAAATGGTCAACGCTATGGGTTGGAATTGCACGTCTGTTTATGAATATTGCCCGCGAAGCTTACCTAGTTCTAGAACTGTCTCAATCTACAGGCTCAGCAGACTTTTACCCATGTCATACTGATATAAGGCTAAATTCCAGCTTATCCAACATGACGGTCGGATAAATATGACAAGTGGAATCTTGCTTACAACTATCTGCCGCAGAGTTCTGAGTATGTCACGTAAAAATAGGTGAGAAAGTACCTGGTAAAGTCCGCACATAATTGATCCATAGTTAACTAACTATGACAGTTCAAGGAAGCTTTTTAAAATTCATAATTAAAAGCCTCAGAATTCCTAAAAGGCGACCATCTGCACACTAAGAACGAAACAGTTCAAATTGGGAAATGTTGCCGCTCGGTGTCTGAAAACAGATTTAAAGCGGGATATCGGGGCGCCTGAACGCATGAGCAAATATTCATTGCAATTCGATAGGCCACATGTAAATAACCCAGCTTTAATATGTTCTATTGGTTTAGTAACTAGTTACGCATGGTAATTTTCCGCCCCACCAAGGCGTGATTTGAAGATGAAACCAAGTAATAAAACACGACACAAGACTGGAAGTCCCTGTCCCTATTTAGTCATGCAAACCAAAACTTCTGGATGCAAGAGGGATGTTAGGAAGTAGCCAACACAACGGTCGGACTTAACGTCCAGTCACAGTTAAGGGGGCAATGCCTAAAGCGAAAAACCACCGCCAACAAACTACGTGTGAGTTGCAAATAAATCAAATGAACATAAGTATATACGACAATAAGGGTAAGAAATATTGGCGATTAAAGATCGGATCGGGAATTAAAAAAGTGTCGGGATCTTTTCCAAAAAAGGCCAAAACTGAGTCCAGAACAAACCTCTTTCCTTTTCCTCAACTCCTCCTCTTCTCGTGCTTTCCTCTCGGCCTCTTCGCGACGTCTTTGCTCAAGTGCTTCACGCTCAACTTTCACCCGACGCTCGACTTCGGCGACAAATTCCTTCTCACGACTTTTTAAGAGCGCGGCCAGCTCGTTCTCAAGGTAGCGCTCCAGACGACGAGCCACCTGTTCCTCAAGAATTTTGGACTCAGCCCATTGTTGGCGCCTTGTAAGTGGCAACGGAAAAAAATAAACGAACAGGTAAGACGGACGAGAAGGTTGGTCAACCGTAATGTGGCAGCTACAGTTGAAATGAACTGTGTATTATAATATAAGGTCCGTTTTACACACTTGCTAAAAGGACACATTACTGACAGTCCTGGTAAACAGGGCCTAGATACTCAGTGAAACGTACGAAAGTCTTTCTTCTTCGGCTTTTTGTTCTTCCTTCTTTCTCAAGATATCTGGCCGTTCTTTCTTCTTTGAAGAAATCCGAGCGGCGCTAGAGCTAGAGTCTCCCGAATCACTGCTACCGGTTCGCATGCGTCTAAAAAATAAACTGAACGGGGCCGCACACAGTACTTTGATTTCAAACGTGAATAGGAACGAGAATTGCCAGAATCGTCACTTTCGCGCATTCTCGCTTCAAGAAAGACTGAATGAAAATGTGCGCCGCACGACTGTGTGCTGCGTTGGGCGATCAAGGCCGACAGTAACCCAGATATTTCGACGCGTGGTCTGAAAATTCTACTCTGGGCGAGGTCCGAAGTGAGAGCTAGGGCACAACTTGCAGGTCTCTAACGGAATCTTCCGGTGTGTGTGAAAGGAGGAGTACTGAGAGCGATGGTGTCAACTGGAGAGAGTATGTGAAAGAGCTCAGTTACTTAAGGTATTCGATCCCAGGTAGTTCTGGAATTGTAGGACAACTTTCTCAAAGCAGAAACGAGGACAATAATCTTAGGCTAGTTACTCTGGCGGCAAGCAAAACTTTCGAAAAGGGAGAATGGGTGGGACTACAGGCAGACCGCGTCTTGTCTGTCTTCGTTATTAGACTAAGGGAAAAAGCAAATGAAGGACTGTAGGAGGAAATTCAAATCCATGGTTCCTTGGTCTGTCATTTCAATTTCAAATCCACAGATTCCAGAATAGAAGGCTACTTTCACATAAGAGTTTTTGAGGATAATTCTATGGTAGAACAATATGATGTGAAATCGAACAGGTCACACAGATAAAAGACAAAAACGAACGACGGTATGGCTGAAGGAAAAACGGCAAAGGAGGAATCAGAGAAGATCAAGCTGCACTTTTAAATCTGGGAACACAACAGTAGCAATCAAGATGTCTTCTGGTTAAGCTAATAAATTTCTACACAACTTAAGAGCCCCAACAAACCACAGCAGGGATACAAATCAAGACTGAACTGAACTGAAGACGCCTATGCGTTCGGGTCAAAATAAAAAGACTGAACTCGCAAAACGAAGCACAGATTTGGACACGGATCAATACAGAACCGGAAGAAGCAGCATTTCCACGGCCTTTCAAAAAACTAGAAAACGTGCCAAACGAAACCCTTATATGCAGAGTCACGCGCAGCGATAGGTGATGAGGTATTGGCGGTCGGCGTACGTCTTGTGTTCTATGTGAAGCTGGTCATTGATGGATTGCAATACTACCGTCGGTTTCTTCTAACTTCTATGGTTAATTCATTCTGTGCCTATAGGAGATTGAATGGCTGGCGCAATGGGTGTAGGGCAGATTTATATATGATGAGGAGCGAGTACCGTACGGGAGATACACGGAGAAACTGGAGGTTGTCCGAAACAATTTTGCCGAATTCTATTGGGTGCTGTTATGTGCACCCGTATTTGAAGTGTTAGAGGCAGGAAGGACTATAACCCTCGAATTGTTCTGTAGGCTGAAGAAAAACTGATATCTTTATTTCAGTATATCGACAGTCGGCTGAAAAGGGAATCCTCCGTCATAGTACTTGAAGATAACCACGGTAACGATCAGCGAAAATGCAAGGAAGTTGAATATTTGGGTTAGTTCTTTGTTTCTGTATTCGGTATGGGGATGGGGCTTTTTAATTTCAACAGTCCTGTTGCGCATGGATGGTGAGTGAATATACACCGTTCACAGAGGCTGTCATGGAAAAAACTGCATAATCTTTAAGAAACCCAGCAGTAGCAGTAGTATCGGGCCAATTATCAAATCTGCAGACCCTTATTCACCGCCGCCCGTGCCAACGACTTCTCCTTCAACGACTGCATTTAAAACATGGATCAAGCAACAAACCGCGGTAGAAAATGTGTTCCGCCATCACCGTCTAATATCCTTAGAACATCACATCCCCTAGAAAACGATACATCGAAAAATACGAACCAAATCGCCAGCGAGCAATGTCTCATTATTCACGAGCATCTTGAGCCAAACACTCACACTCCCAAGATGCGGGTTTCTGAAGTTCTAAGGCTCTTCCAAAGCCTGCTCAGTAATATTTTGAAACCCACTGATGCAACTGAACTGCTCAAAGCCTTCCGTCTCTGAAAACGAGCAAGCAACCACCCAGCACCAACACCCCCCGACTTCGCACAGTTATGATGGCTTGTAAGGAACAATCCATGTTGATTCTCCCTCGGTGCTTAAGAATAAAAGGTCCCGACCCCGGCGTTTTTTCGATCGGACTGCTCACCAGCGGAGAGGCTGAAACGTCGCCTTCTGGCTCTTGAGGTGAGAAAGAGACTTGGCGAAGAACGCAATTTAGTTTTCTACAACATCAAAGTTAGGCAGCGTCCACGATTCTTTCTGTGGACGGACCCGATCCGAATGACCGCTCTGCCGATACAGTAGATGGAAGTTCGAGACATAACGAGATCACTCCTCCGGCGGCCATGAAACACCAACTCCAATTCCTGTATACAAGTGTGCAGAGCATGCTATCAAGTCGACGAATCAAAGATCCATCTGTCTGATCTATCCCGAGATATAATCTCACTAATAGGAAATTGTTAAACCAACACGTGGACGACCGTGAGTTAACAATACCCGAATACCATCTGTCTAGTAGAGACGGGTCTGGACGTCAGGGAGGAGGCGTACCCACGTGTGTAAGCACGGGCTTACCGATTCAGACAAAAACAGATAAATTTACGTGTACTTATGAGGAAATCTGGCCAACTATTATAGCGCCAGGTTCACCGAGCTTCGACGTCCTAACAGTCTACTGACCTCCGAGAAATTATCCCATGGCTGACGCCCGTCTGTTTGGTGACCTGTGAAGATAACCTATTCGGCTCGACGTCTTGATCATGGAAGACTTCAATGAACCTCTTATCAACTGGAGTTCAGCTTACTCATCCGGTCCAGACGATACTTTCGACCGACGAGTGCTGTATATGATGCTCAGGTTATTTTTCACTTAGCACGTCTTTTTTCTGACGAAGGTGTGCGAAGGACAGCAGTCAAACTGTCTGGATCTTGTCCTTACAAAGTCGTTGGACGACACTGATGAGGTGCAATATCTATCTCCCTTAGGTCGAAGCGACCTCGTCATACTCTTATGGGAGTACTCCGTCTTTTCTATGCGCGAGCAAGTCGCCAGAGTTAGGCGCAGCAGCTTTGATCAAATGAAAGATGTACTAAGCAGCACAAACGGCGTATCAGCTTTTTCCGGTGAAACAATCAAGGTTTGGGACTAATTTAGTGAGTTATTGCACCTTCTCTCTGAGACCACCGCCATATTTTACGGAATAAAGTGGACAACAGCCACCATGGCTAACGTAAGCCTTAAAAAAGATGTAAATAAAAAGCGGGGGTTGTGGACGAAATTCTTCTCGGACAGAAACTCTGTGTCGATAAATCAATACAGATTCCAGATCAATATATTTGGTCGACTAATCCTCGGCACACGGCGTGATTTCGAGACAAACCCACTGAACCGAGCCGCACAGAGTCTTGGGTTATTCTATGGCTACATAAGAAGGAGCACGGGGAACAGAGACCTAAACCCATTATTGAAAGCCAGTGAAGGTCTACAGATTAGTGAAGATGGAGCAAAGGCAGAGCAACTTTCCCAATTTCTTAAGTCCATTGTTACAAAGGAGAGGACTTTTTTTCGTCCCGACTGCGGCTTACTGGAAGGGTCAGCGATCGAGACTGTTTCTTTCGCCGGAGTTATTGTTCGCAAGGAAGAGTTAACGCTGAATCAGACAAAATCACCTGGGCCAGATGACATACCACCCAAACTATTAAAGAAGCTCGGTAGGGAAATATCTAAACCGATGTCCATGCTCTTGCAAGCCTAATGGGAATCAGGCCATTTGTCCGCCGACTGGAAGTCTGCACAAATTACACAACTTTACAAAGGCGGTAGTAAGGTCTTAGCAAACGGCTACAGACCAATCAGACCCACTTCAATTTGCTGCAAGATTATGGGAAAAATGATTAAGCGAGAAGAAATGCGCTTCCTAGTGCAGCGAACTCTGCTATGCGATACCCAATCAGGGTTCCGTAAAGGCAGATCGTGTATGACAAACCTACTTTGTTGTTTAAGACGCCGGGTCCGAGCAGATGACGGCGGGAATTCAGTGCATTCCGTCTATGTCAAATTTAAGAAAGCATTCGATAATACACCACATCGGCGCGTCCTTTACAGACTGAACCAAGCGGGCACTAGGTGTAATCTCCTGAGGTGGGTTCAAAGCTTCTTTACCGGCCACTCTCAAATTGTCCACGTTGGTGACGGGCAGTCGGCGGAGGTAGCGGTTGAAAGCGGTGTTACTCAAGGCTCCATCCTTGGCCCTACCTAGTTCATTATAGGCGTCAACGATTGTGTCAGGGGAATAACTTTTGGCGTTGTCATGTTCGCTGATGATGTTAAGCTCTCAAACGTCATGAGAACTGGATTTGACGAAGAGCGCTTGCAGGCAAACGTGAACTGGCTCGAGCAATGGTCGTAGAACTGGCTTATGCGTTTAATGTGACTAAGTGCAACATTCTGCGAGTCGGCAGGACCCGATCTCTGAGCCGGAGGGGTTACCACCTAAATTGTATACCACTGAAGGAGGTAGATGCCCAGAAGGACTTGGGTGTGCGGGTTGCGGCTTTATTTAAACTGTCTTTCCACTACTCCAAGGTAGCCAAGTCCGTGATGTCAGCACTTAACCTTGTCAAGCCGACTTTATTTTCGATGAGCATGGAAAATTTGGACCTCTAAAGATCCCCGCATCCTCAAGAAAGCTAAAAGACGGGCAACTATATTCGTTAGCGGACAGGGTTCACTACCCTACGAAACACGGTTATCCACTTTCGAGATCTTCCCTCTGAGTTCCAGACAGCTAAGAGGCGACCTGATACAAATATTCCGTATCACGCGCGTTCAGATCTGCCGTCGTCAACCCGGGGACTTCTTTGAGTCGCAACCACGACGAAATTCCAAGATCATCCACTTGGTATACGTGTGAATGGCGCCAGGCTGGTCACTAAGAATTTTTTTTGTTTTCCGATTGAATGGTTGGGTCTTAGAGTGGTCTGCCTGCAGATACAGTGTGCCCACATTCGTTGAGGCTTTTCAGCGCAAACTGGATCAGTATACCACTACACATCATAATGTCCCCCGACTGATATCCGAAAAGCCTTT